ACCCATCAGTGAAGTTTAAAAGACCCATCGACAAAACAAAGATGTGTAAGCCAAATCCTCTTATACATAGGATGGTAATGTAAAGAATTCTTGGCAGCTGCTATATCGAGGGGGTGGGATAAAACATCCATTGAAATTGCAAACAATTTAGGGGACAAGGGGGACACACACATAAATAGCCAGTTAACAAACACAAGTGGGAACTTCATTGCAACTAACGCTTGAAAAGAAACCCCAGTCCACCGAGTCGAACGCTTTCATGAGGTCAATCTTAAGCATACTTCATTGTGAATATTCTTCCTATTGTAATTGTGGATTAACTCATGAGCCAAAAAAATATTCTCTCCAATTAAACGACCCTTAACAAATGCTAAATGGTTTGTTCTTATCAGTTATCACACAAGGCAAGCAAGCACTTAACCGGTTCACTAAAAATTTTGCAATGCATTTGCAAATAGTCGAACAATAAGAGATAGGCCTGTAGTTCTTCATGTCTCCAGCACAAAAAACCTTAGGAATTAGAGCAATCAAAGTAGCATTTACCTAATTAGGGATAGTGATCTCCTCAAAATAGTGAAGGATTGCCTTTTTCCGCTCACCTCCTAGTATATCGCATGCCGAGTGAGAGAAGAAGGTCGAAACCCCATAAGGCCACGTGCTCTTATCCCTTGGAAGATCAAACATCATCTTCTTAACCTCCTCTGCCGTCACATGTGCACATAAACTAGCAAACATACCCACTGGCAGCTTCTTATTCAGAAGGGACTTGTAAGAACCCAGAATTTCTGAGCAAACTTCTTTGTTCTGAACCCCTAGCAGCTTCTCATAGAAATTAATCACCACTTCAGACTTTTCTCTCACGTCAGTAACCCTCTTCCCTGCCTCATCCCTGAGAAATCTGATTTTGTTCCTACTCTGCCTCGCCTTTATCGATCTATGGAAGTACCAAGTCAAAAAACTGTGTATGGAATTGCCAAAATTAATTCAAAGAAATTGAAAACCTTTGGTTACATTTTCAACTTCACATATGTGTTAAAAACTATAGAGAAATGATAAAAGAAACTCCAGACTCCAATAATCCACTTCATATTTAACTTCACTATCAACCACTGCCTCAATCCACTTCATATTAATAGAAACCCTATCCAATCGTCGAGCAACAGGATTTCTAGATTGCCTATTTAGCCAAGTAGACCACGGACCCTCAGTTTTATGTTCCTCCTTTTCAATTTCGTCAAGCCAATCACTCAATTCTATCATAGGGCTAGCGATTTCAGGACTGTTTGAAGCTTCATGGGGATCCCTATAACATTAAAATCTGCCAACACTATCCGGGAATGTCATCCTCCTTCCTCTTTCTAATTTCCCTATGTAACTAACTTCTTTGAGAGTTTGTAATAGATCCATACATGACTATTTATAAAAAAGAAGCCCCCCAACCAACACATGAATATATTTCTCTTCCTTATGCAAGATTCTTAACGGGATATCCTTCCTCCATACTAACCATATCTTACCCAACCCTTTTGCATTATAAGAAAATGTATACTCATAGTCTGAAAAACTTTATTTACCAACTTTTCAGTATCCTGTTATGCTTATATATCAAAGTATGGACAACAATCCCTTTTTTTAGGCCTTAATGCCTCTAGTATTCCACACAAGTAACTTCATTTGCAACCCCTTCCCCCACGACCATGACCTCCTCCCTTCTTGCCACTCTGAGGAGCCATCGGGGGAGCTAGATCCATCACTTGAGAGGGTTCAGGATCTTCAACTTCCACCACTTCCAAAGGAGGAAATTTATAAGTGCCTGAACCCCTCTAACCAATTGTCCTGATTTAACAACTAGAATGAAGATAGAATCCTGATGATAGCAGCCGATGATCCACCCCCAACAATCGTTTGCAATTAGGTCTCTAGGCTCCCAATTCCTGGAATTGATGACACACAAACCACATATGTAAAAATCTGAACAGTATTCCCATTAGTTGGAGAACTGTCCAGGATATTCTCAGTCACTTGCACTTCCTTTTCTTTATCTGTGCCCTTCCAAACTCCTACAGTCTTACTTACTACCTTCTCCGTCTTCAAGACTGTGTCATTTTTCACAATTTCCCTACCAACACCTTTAACATTTTCACCGTAAACTTATTTTTTCTTAGGAACCCAATGCTTATTACTCCTAGATAGAGCTTCACAGTCATGACCAAGTATCTCGCACAAAGGACAAACCAATGGAAAATCCAAATATTCCACCTTTATCAAATCTACTGATTCATAGAATCCACACCCTAAATCTCATTCTCCAAACGACCCCTAAGTGCAGTATTCCGTTTTTGGTTGGGTGGAATGTACTCTTTGAAGTCTAACATAGGGTGTATAACTCATGGTTATGTACATTTGCATAACCAGATTTGAGCTCTTGATTTTAAGAGGGCTAACATCTAAGTTGTGTGAGATTGAAAAGTGTTTACTTTTTTTTATTTTTCCTACTTTTAGTTTATGTTCCTTGTTTAAACTTAGATTTCAAATATTTTTGCACAGATGGAACGATTTATCTGTGATCTACAAAATGATAGCTATATTCAAAATATTTCGCGATTTTTTCCGTACCACCCTTATACACCTTCGTTTGCCTCTTAAAGTTTGAAAATTACTGCATAGAATGAATAAGTTCATCGTGATTTATTAAATTTCAGGAGGGGGGAGTGAATTCAACTTTAATATATATACCACCCTGTTATAGGGTGGTAACTGGTGGTAGACAGTGATGAAAGGTGGTAAATGATAGTTAGTACATTTCTACTTTCATGTATACAACCATTCTACACTATGGTATATTCATACCACTGGTACACTTTCATACCACACGGTATAATCTTATGTACTATCTATCTTTCCCACCATGATTGACTGGTAAAAAATCATTCAATTTTATTGTTCTAAAATATACCAAAGTGAGTGTGATTTTGCTATCACAATGAATATTATTTTGCATGTGCAAAACAATTTAAAAGAAAGAGATATAGTACATTAAAATTAAGGCTAATTCCACTAGGAAACCCAAATCATCCTAAAAGTGTCATTTGTGTACTAAACTATTCAATATGAAAAATCTGGCACAAACTATAAGCGTTTCGTGACATTTGTGTCATATACTCTAATATTTTAGAATGGTTGTAGACAAGATAGTAGAAATACACTATTTGTCATTTACCACTTTTCATCACCATCTACTACCATTTACCACCCTATAATTGGCTTTGCACATGAATTTCCCCCTCCTAAATTACATATATATATGGTTTAGGCTAGCGTACGTCCGGGCGTACGTTAGACTACCGTACGCCCGTTTGAGTTTTGCTATTTAGATCATGAATTAACCGGAGTTTTGGGCATGATACTATACCCTAACCACTAATGGATAAACCCCAGTCCCTAGTTTTCTAACCCAAATCATGAGATTCGTTTAATCTTGAAATGAAAATCAACAATAATTTCGACAAATCAGAACCGTTGATTTTCATTTCAAGATTAAATGAATATTATGCTTTGGATTAGTGAATTGCGGACTAGGGTTTACCCATTAGGGGTTAGCGTATAATATCATACCCCAAACTCCGGTTAATTCATTGTCTAAATAGCAAAACTCAAGGGGCGTACGGTAGGCTAGGGTACGTCCGGGCGTACGCTAGCCATTGCCATATATATATATATATATATATATCCAATAGACCATGACAAACTTGTTCGTTTAAAAAAATCCAAAATTCGAGTGGACTACGAAGGCGATACATATATAGTGGTATCAGAGTTGTAACGAGTGGTAGAAATTTTTTTTATTGAAATATAAAAAAACGAATATCATTTTGTAGATAAAAACAAACTCACTTCATCCATGCACAAAATTTGAAATCAAAATTAAAACAAAAAAGATATTAAGCCAATTAGAAAAAATAGAAAAATAAAAATACATTTTCATCTCATTCTTTATATCCGGCTCACTCAAAACCAAAAGCCTGAATTTGATCATAAATTTATGCATAACTAAGAATTATCCATCCTATTATATACATACTGTTGATCTACTTGTATTGGAATTGAAGCTGAAACATCAATAATGTTGCTGTGGTGTAGTGGTTATCACGTTTGCTTTACACGCAAAAGGTCTCCAGTTCGATCCTGGGCAGCAACATTTTTTTTATTGCAAGAAACACGGCGTAGCTAGCCCGAGTGGTTAAGCGCTTCATTGTGTTTGTTGTTGCATGTGAGCCCGAGGACTCAGGTTCGATTTACCCGAGAGGTGTTTTTTAAGTTATAAAAAAAATATATCAATGTCTGGTCAAAACTCTAAATATATACTAGTTATACACAGTTACAGACTACTTGTGCTTTATGGTGCATCTCCAAAAAAAAGCAAAATTTTCAAATATCCAAATACTGAATTAGACAGTAAGAATCGTGTAGTACACATCCCCGGTCTCCAAATTTAGAGAGAACTTATATTTGGTCTTTATTTTGAAACCCAATTTTGGAGACATAATCTATAAGAATACATTTTCCTTTTCAAACGACCTCAATGGCTCGATCACAGATGGTGGATATATGATTATGGTTGTCAACTCACTGGTAGACCCGTTAGTTGATTCATTTTGATTCTTCTATGGTAAGAAAAACATAACACGCACAGCTGCACGGGTCGACCCGCTGCAATGTTAACAGGTTGGAGGTCACACAACATCGTTTTCTCTTTTAGTTTGCGAAATGCGTATCTTGTTTGATTTACCTCTCCACCTAATTAACCATATATTAGGAATTATAATTTTGAACTTTTGAATATTAATATTATATAAGCATGTGTGCACTAAAAAGGTGTTTCCATTTCCAGAACCGAATACCAAAACAAACTGTTTACAACAATCTCATCAAGGGCGCTGTTATCAGTTAATAGGAGACATCAAATGAGCAACTTAAAGAAAAGCTATATCTAGCTAAGCTTAGTTATTGGCATGGTTGTTGGGACTGGGAGCCGGAAGATAGTTCGCTATCTTGCTGATTGTGAGTGGCTTGGAAACGCAATCTGTCAATCCAGAGGCCAAAAATGCTGCCTTCTCAGCGCAAGCCGCCGTCACGCCCACAATTGGGCTCGTCACTCCCATGCCTCGCAACTCCTTTGTAGCCTACGTACACATGAATCCACCATTTTTTGTTCTTATGAATCAAAATGCAACTTGTTTGTAAACATGGAGAGGAAGAGAGACATATATATATACGTACCTGTGAGCCATCCATGACGGGCATTTGCAGGTCCATGAGCACGAGATGGAAAGAAGCCCCAGCAAGGTGAAGGTCGACGGCTTCCTTCCCATTCACAGCCACTTCCACTTCGATCCCTAGTCTTGTCAGCATCATCTTGTGCATCTTGCGGAGGATGCGGTCATCATCCACCACGAGGACCCTGAACGGCGTCGTTTCGGTGTTAATCTCGTAGCTGCTGCTGCTGCCATTCTGATACATTTCCATCTCTACCAAACAAAGAAGAAGAAGAAGAATGGCAGGATTGCTGGGGATGTGGTTTGTCCGAGCAACAAAACCTCTATAACCAATTATTTGTTGGGTTGTGGAGTTGCAATTGTTGACACTAGTGCTCTTCTGGTTTTATATGTGCAGTCTTTTGATGAGTGAAGTGAATGGATTTAATAGGGTCGTGGTGTCTTGGATTTTTTTTTTGGGTTTGCTTCCTACTTGGGGATAGAGGTTGTTAATGATGAGAAGATTTTGTGGGTTTATTAAGAAAAAAATCGATTTACGAATCTGGTAGATGTCAAATAGATCGCCGGATAATTTATAGAGTTCTGTATGATATTTTACTTTGTTTAAAGAGTGTCAAATTTATTAAAGAAATCTATATTTCTATTTCATTGCAAGCATAACATTACTTAATATATATCGCATCTGAAAAATTCAAATTCGCGATCCAGTATCAAGATTTTTTTGCATATTAACCAAATATATCTACATAAAGTGAAGACTCTAGTCTAAGAAATTTAAGATTTAAGATGTTCAAACTCTCTCTTATTATGGACAACCAACACAATCTAGATAATCATATCAATAAAAACAACACAAAATCATGTGTATTTCACATTAGCACCGTATTTGGTTTGAAATTTTTGAATGAAGAAATGGTTAAAAAGTTCAATATTGTTTGTATGATAACCGTATAAGAATGAGACTTTTAGCAACGAAATATTTGGCAACATTTAAATTTTCGTCGCTAAATGTGGGTTTCAGCAATGAATTTTAATTATCCGTCGCAGATTGTTTCAAATTTTGAACGGTGAGAAAATAGATTTCACTGCAATAAATACATTTTGGAGACAACATAATCAGCTGCAAAACGTCTATACATGTTTTATGTGACATCCTAATTCATGGTTTTGGGTAAGGAGTTCGGCCAAACCATTTTGACTGAGGTTTCTATACTGAAACAACATAATTCATTCGAAGCCTAGCTCATCAATGATCTCCTACTTACAACTTTTGAGATGTTTCTACAGTAGAGTCGAGATCTCACCTCACTCACTTTGCCATCAAAGATGCCGCCCAATGCCTCGATTAGGTCTTTCAAACTGGCGAGGAGGACGATGGCCCAAAGACCTCGAAGTTGGTGACTAGGCTCCTTTTTTCTCTTTTTGTTTCCTGCACTAGTGTTGCTGCTCACTAGGTCACCAACCAGATCCATATGACATCATCTGTTTGTCCATGCGCAAGTTAGGGTTTATGAACAATAAGAAGAAATGCAAATTAAAGAGGAGGACGACAAAGAAGTGGCAAAGAAGTTTCTAAATCGGAGAAAGTGCGTAGTTGTAAAGTTGGATGAAATCGAGTTGTACCTGGATGAATCTAATATATGCCAATTGTTGTCCCGCCGCGGTCGGATGATTCTTTTGGAATTTGAGGTTTAGCTCAGGCTGGAATATTGCATGCACTACGGGAAAAGTGGCCTTTGCCAACACTATGTTTGCATGTGGGATGATAGTTGGTGAGCATTTTGAACGTGAACAATATGGTTTCAGATATAATTTTATGATATGCACAATTTGGTGAACCTATTAGCCATCACGGTTGAAAACTCTTTATTAGCGACAGACTTCATTTGTAGCAGAAAGGTTCATGAAATGCGACGAACACATTCATTGTTGATAATACTTTTTTTGGCGCAATATTCATCGTTGATAATATTTTTTCTGCTATGAAACTTTTCAACGCCAAAATATTATACCGTGACGAAGGATTGTGTCGCAATGTTTACATCGACGACGTTGTATGTCACAAAAACTCAAGCCTTAGGCGACGAGTTGAGCGAGAGCTTTTTGCAACAGTGTCTTCAATTTTCATCATTGAAGCCTTCGCGATGCAATATACGTGATGGAGAGAAAAGTGCCTTTTGCGATGAATATTCGTCGCCAAAGGTTTTTCCGATGCATTTATGGACTTTTGCTATGAAATGTTTTGTCGATAAAGGAAAATTCTTGTAGTGTAATTAGAACCCATATTTTCTAAAGTTATATAAATTTTGGGTAAATATAATATATTAGCCCCAACTATTAAGCATCGGGATGTTATAGCCACAACTATCATAATACGATATATTAGCCAGCCATTAATTTTCCATCCAAATTTTTTCCGTTAACCTATGCTGAGGTAGCATGTTAAGTGTTGACTTGGAATACATTTCTGACGTGGAAACATATATTAATTTAAAAGAAATAGAAGCGTGTATTACATGATTAATAAGGTGGGGACAAAGCTTGATGGCCCGGGCCGAGAATCCCTCGCCTCCCTTAGCCTCTGCCACACCTTCCACCACCGATCAGCACGGGATTCTCCGACCTAAAACTAACTCCGGCCACTCTCTCCTTCGTGGGAAAAAAGAAACCCAAAAAATTTTCACATCGCCGCCTCCTCCTAAAAGCGATTCGCTGACAGGAATTTCAACTTCGACGCCGTGAAACCCAACTTCGCCGTCGCGTTAAGGGGCACCCCGGCCGAGATCTGGTTTCGGGACATCAAATCGGGTCAGGATATTTTTTGTTCTGATCCACGCCCTCAGCGTTTTCCTCGACGAACCTTCCTCCATTGCTGCAACATCCGCCCTTGCCTCCTCCACCGCCTCTTCTCCATTCCTTCCTCCCCTAACTCCCTCGCCTCCCTTCGCCTCTGTCGCACCTTCCACCACCGACTCAGCACGAGATTCTCACAATCCCGCCCCGTCGTTTTGGAAACATTTATCAGTACATCTACGACGGTATCAAGGTCCACCTCGTGTGGTTTGCTCCTCGTTTTGGGTTTTCTATTATATCGTCGTTGTGCGACTCGGCGTCATCAGCTTCACTGCCATCGTTCCAGAGCTTGGATTTAGCAAATCGATCACTGGTTCCCTTATGCTGCTTATTTCACGGCGTTTCTCTCACTTGCCGCTTCCCGACCGTGAGAGCTCTCGTTCCGGCGCACTGACATGAGATTGCAGACGAGGCTCGAAGAACAATGGTGGCGGAGAATGTTAGAGTGTGGTATAAGATCCAGCATAACCTCCTCCCAAAAACTCGAGTTATTGGGGCCAAGTGGTTAATTCGCTGACATGGTATCAGAGCTGGTTTGACCGAGTGGCCGTGTGTTCACATCTCCACGACCCCCAATATTAACAGTTGATTAAAGCACAAGGTATGGTGGGCCTGTGCAAACTTCAAGATCGTGATTTTTCATTTGAGGGGGCATGTTAGAGTGTGGTATAAGATCCAACATAACCTTCTCACAACAACTCGAGTTATTGGGACCAACTGGTTTATGCCATGATATTAGAGCTGGTTTGGCCAAGTGGTCGTGTGTTCGAATCTCCACGACCCCCAATATTAACAGTTCATTAAAGCACAAGGTATGGTGGACCGGTGCAATATTAACAGTTCGAATCTCCACGACCCCCAATATTAATAGTTCGTAAGTTGGCTTTCGTTTGAGGGGGCGTGTTAGAGTATGGTATAAGATCTAGCATAACCTTGTCCCAACAACTCGAGTTATTGGGGCCAAGTGGTTAGTTCGCTAATAGAGAAGGCATGGGAAGGGAAAGAATAGTGAAGGTAAGGGTTGGGTCTGTTTTCAATTTTCAATTTTTTTAATAATTAAAAAATAAAAAATTATATATTTAATGATTTGCTGATGTGGACACCAATATGGATGCTGACATGGCAGTTTTCGTTACAAAATTGATGACGGTAACAGACTATTAGCCATATCTTAATCCACAATAATAATTGCGACTAATAATTTGTATTTCTATAGTTGTGGCTATAATTTCCCGATACTTAATTGTTGTGCCTAATATATTGTATTTACCCGATACTCAATGATTGCTGACACGTCGAACACCCGAACTAGATTGAAGTTAGAGGAAGAGCATGACAAGGACATAGTATATATCACAAATTTACCTTACTTCAAGGTGTCATTATGGACATAGTGACAATGCCACCTCAGGTGAAGGCCTATTTGTGGTATGAGTCTTGACTGCCATATTAGTAGCAACTGAATTTCGGGGACAAAATTTTGATAAGAGGGGAGAAAATGTAACATCCGACACCATTATTTTTTATATGATTCCTAAATTACCCCTCATCGGTTACGAATAATCATATTAACCCTAAGCTAAACCCTAGATATTCCCACGCAGAGTCGTGGCCCTCATTTTGGGTAAGCTACCTAGACTACTCACACTGGATTAGTTCCTAGAGAAGGAAATTATTAAGTTAATATGTAGAGATATGAGAGGTGCTTTAATGTGCTTGGACAAATTTGTTGTGGTTGACTTTGTAAAATGTATAGAAGAATCACACAATACGCAGCGATTTACGTGGTATCCTTGCTCGTTGTGAGCAAGACTAATCCACGGAAGACTCGCACAAGGGGTCTTCGGCTTAGGTTTTATTATTAGGGTTTTGAAACTCCCATCATACCTCTGCCCATGCATGCGGCAGCCAATATATAGGAGAAGCACATTATCCCTTTACATCACTCAACTAGGGATAAGTGCAAAACAGTCCTCATAAATTAATCGATGGGCTACGTATAAATCTCAACACATACATAGTTCGTAATACGCACCCCTCAAGCGGAGGCATGAATATCATGAAGGCCAAGCTTGGAAGTCAGAAAGGAAAACTGGTCCGCACCTAGGCCCTTGGTAAACATGTCAGCCACTTGATCGTGCAACGAAATCTTCTGCGGAGCTATCTCACCAGAAGTCACGCGCTCACGAACAAAGTGACAATCCATCTCAACGTGCTTGGTACGCTCAGGGAAAACCGGGTTAGCTTCGATATGCAAAGCTGCCTGGTTGTCACAATGCAACGGTGTTGCTGCCGCGGTGGTTACTCCCAAGTCAGTGAGCAACCAACGAAGCCAAACAAGCTCGCTGACAGTGCTGGCCATGGCCCTATACTCTGCTTCAGCTAACAAAC